GGTCCAACTGTTCCCGTGAACTTCGGAGGGGCAGTTGGTCGCGTGAACTGTTAAGCGCGTGAGGAGAATGTCCCCAACGGTTATATTGTGCCCAACATTCATATTATGCCCAACGGCTATATTGTGTCAAACGGTCATATTGTGTCCAACGGCTAGGTTGTGTTATTCTCCTTGTTGGGCCTTGTCTAAAGCTGAATTGGATTGGGTCTTTCTTAACTGTGAAGGACAGGTTAGCTGAGGTCGAACTGGAGAACTTTGAGCTGGAGAAGCTCTAAGGCCAGTATGAGGCCAAGGTTCAACTTCTAAAGGATTTGACAAGATGAGGATTAAGGTGGTCGACACAATTGCAGAAAATGAAAAACTCAAGGCAAGGATAGCTGAGTTGGAGAGCTCAGCGACAATTGGGAAGGATGAGACAGAGGAGGAAAAGTCCTTGAGGACTCGAGGAGACCTGATCGACAAAATCCGCATCCTTGAACAGGATAACCTGGGGGCGGCCAAATTCGGGTTTAATGTTGTCGTGGAGCAGCTAAAGGTTCTAAACTCCGACGTCCAGCTGGTCACCGATGGGATGGGTGTTTTGTGTCAAGTTTTTGATGGCCAGGTGGTCCCTCCTGAGATTCCAGTCGAGGATGCCTAGTTTCTTTTTGTGACCTAATATTTCATTGGCCTGCGTGCCAATTTGTTTTAATCTTTTGATTATCGGGCTTGGCCCATATTTTGTAATATTTTGACAATTTTCGGCCTGGTGGTTGGATTTATATAACATTTATGTTTGACATTGTATGCCTTGCCTGTGCGCTTTATCTTTGTAGATGTATATTCTTTATATGTTGATTTTCGCGAGTTGTGTTCGCTAAATATAGGAGTTTGCTCGATTCATTATGATACTCGATAGTTTAGGGAACTTGTCGAGGAGGCGAAAGTAGTTTCTGCCAGTTGCGAGACTAGGATCTCGGTCGAGGTTCTGATCTCACAGGGCTTGGACTTTTCCCATGCGAGTTGGGTGTCCTGTCACACTAGTACAGCAACGTCGAAGCTCAATTGAGGTATCCTAGTTGGGCACAGAGTCTGCTCGTTCCATGAGCAGAAACTTGCATTCGTTGTAAATTTAAGGATTGTGCTTGCACCAGGGCACAATCCCTTGGCCGAGCAATCTCTCCATTATGGAGGAGTTCGTCGACAGTTAGTCTTGATTGATTGTTGGTACTAACTGTAATATTGTTTGAGCTTTTCAGCATTCCATGGTCGAGCAAATGTTTATCCATTTAGATGTTCGAGGTAGTAGGCCACGGTGCCCGTTTTTTATTTTACCCGGTAAGGGCCTTCCCAATTTGTGGCCAACTTTCCTTTGCGTGAATCTTTTTTATTTCTGTGTAGGACGAGGCTGCCCACTTAGAATTCGCGCTTTATGACTCTAGCATCATGGCACAATGTTATCTTTTGTTTTAGTGAAGCTTCACGGAATTTTTTCCCAGATTGATTTCTTCTCTTAATGCTCCGTCATTAAGTTCCTCGTTGAGAGGAGCCTCTGTTCGTCTAGAAGCATCCCATTGAGGGATTGTATGAACTTCTTCGAGCTTGGTGTGGGGAACTCAGAAAATGCTCGAAATTTGTCAGGGTTGGCCTCGATCCCCCTCTCAGTGAGGTAAAAGCCGGGGAACTTCCCTGCTCGCACATCGAAGGTGCACTTCTCCGAGTTAAATTGCATTTTACATTTTCTTGCTTGGTCGAAGACTTTTACAAGTGGAGTGTATGATCGGATTCCTCTTGGGATTTCACGATCATGTTGTCCATGTATACTTCGAGCATGTCCCTGATTTCTGATCGGAAGACCTTGTTCATCATTCGTTGGTACGTAGCCCCAATGTTTTTCAGACCGAAGGGCATTACGTTATAGTAAGAATTTCCCGACAAGGTCATGAAAGCGGTGTGTCTCTTGTCCTTTTCTGCCATGGGAATTTGTTATATCCTGAGTATGTATCCATGAAGGACAAGATTTTGGGCTTCTTTGTTATGATTCTCTTATATTGTTATCGACCTATGTTGATTATATTGTGTTGGCAAGAAATTTTGTGTTTGAATTACATTTGTTAAGTCTATTTTAAATCATAAATTTTGTATCAAAGACCTTGGTGCTCTTAGACTTTTTCCTTGATCTTGAAATATCCAAATCCAACATTGGTATTTCACGTAATCAAATTAATTATGCATTAGATTTACTTGAGGATAGTGGTGCTTTTGTAGTCAAGCCAGCTTCTACTCCTTATAATTTGTCGTTAAGTTCAGCAACATAGGTAGTGCAACATTTTTTGATGTAACTTATTGTAGAAGAATCATAGTAAGAATGATTTATGTGACCACTTTTAGACCATACATAGCATATTCAGTGCAACAACTTAGCCAATACTTGTCAAAACCTTGTCAATCGCATTTTTAAGTTGCCTCACGACTACTTAAATACCCCAAGTTAGCTCCTTCTCAAGGTTTAATTTTTTCTACTGCAAATTCTCTCCAATCATCAGGATTTGCATATTCTAATTGGGCATGTTGCATTGGCATCAGAAATCCAATCACATGATTTGTTTTTTTCTTGGACCTACCGTCATTTTCTAGAAATCTAAGAAGCAAGGAAGTGTTTCTTCTTCTTCCTCAAAGGCTGAGTATATGGACTTAGCATAACTCAGAGGGGAAATTCAATGGATTCGCTATCTACTATTTGATGTTCTACTCATTGTTATCATTCCTTCTATGCTTTATTGTGACAACAAATATGTAATTTATCTTGCACACAATCCTACCTTCCACGAGAGAAAAACTTCAGTAAAGTATCATTAAACTGCTATCAGTTCCATCAACTTCTCAATTACCTAATATTTACACTAAACCATTACATGTTGCTTCTTTTAAGTCTTTTATTTCCCAGTCAGGACTTTTCAATTTACATAGTACAACTTGAGAGAGAGAGAGAGAGTATTAAATATGGTTATAATGTTTAGTTAGTTATCTTTAGAAGTATTCGCCTTTATAAACATTAAGTGTATTGGCATACTTAATGCGTAAAAGGGAAGGGTGCAATCGTCATACTTACTATATAGCCTATCATCCTCGGAAGGACTCAAGACTCCCCAGTAGAAAGATGGACCGACTTCAGTAAAGGCGTCATCAAGACCACCTAATTTAGATAAAACACAAATAGTATAGGGAACGCAGATTCCTCCCAAGAAGATAAAGCACTCTTCTGGATCTTGTGAGCACTCTTCTCTGACTTTTTACCCATTATGCGTTAACTTTTCTGATGCGGAAAAATGAAATGCCAAAGAACGAGATAAGCGCTAAACTGGGAAAAAGGCTTAAAGAAAGCAACGCTAACTCTTTAAGGACTATATCCTAGCATGCGAGAGGAAATGTATTCTATCAAACGTGTCAAATCAATTGCACACGACAATCAAGTGTTTTAGTTTCCGAGAGTTGTAATGATGGCACCTCTGGAAAAACGTTTCAAATATGGAGCGTTAAATGTACAAATTCCCATAAATGTAAAGTTTTCTTCTCATCTTTTAGACATAAAGACGAGAATGATCGGCAGTCGACGTTGAAGTAACAAACTCATGTTTTGCCGAGCATAGACACAAGCTTGAGAGCTACTGTTCTAGACCCGTCATATCGACCTCGACAGACCACGCTGAGGGAATGGTAATAATTCCATAATATGTTTAGCACATGAAAATTTTCCTCATGACGCCAATAAAGATCTCAACTGCAAGTGTATCCAACCGCTCTACGTAATCCACTCCTAACAAATAGTGAGTTTGTTATTTTCTCAATATATATATATATATATATATATATATATATATATATATATATATATATATATATATATATATATATATATATATATATATATATATATATATATATATATATATATATATATATATATATATATATATATATATATATATATATATATATATATATATATATATATATATATATATATAAAAGTTTCAAATTGAGGTAACAAGTTTCAAATTCAATTTTACTTCTCTCTTCTTTCTCATTACCACCGATCCTCAATTTATTTATTTTTTCCAAAACATATAATTCACCATCACCACCTATCCTCAATTTATTTTTTATTCCGGAACATATAATCCACTAGATTACCTATTTTGTTTGTTTAAACATTTGTTTTATATAATTGGTATACAGTATTACAAAATATATTTCATTTATATATCTCTCTCACACTTACATTTTTATTTCCCTATTTCATATTCAATGGTAATAATTTATTATTTAAATATTTGCTTCATAGTTAATAAATCATTTATTATATATTTAAAATTTATTGCCTAATACTATTACATAATCATTCTAAACATATCTAATACATAATATTTTTAAATAAATATGTATTACATATATAGTATATAAAAAAATATTATTTTAAAATTAATTATTTTCCTAAACTTTAATAAATTTGAGAAACATTGAACTAACTCATATCTGATTGTCTGACCCAATCTTTTTTCAACCAAAGAAATTATCTTAGTTTTTTTATAATCAAATTTAGAATTTCAAAAGTAGTTACCAAATAATTACATGTACTCAATAAAACTTAAAAAATTATTTTAAAAAATTAGAAAATTTCTTTCACTGTGAGAAAAGTGAAGTAAAAATACGCACTCTATGGTTGATTGTGCATGTAAAAAAATTTCTACTAGAAACTCATATTATCATGTTGAGAAATAACATCACCGCATAGTTTCTGATTTCTGAATTATGAAACCACACATAATTTATTGTTCTGATGCTTTTGTCCTCTAGTTAACATAGGTATAGTCTTGTTTTATAGCGGTTTTATAGATATGTTGAATATCAACAACACTCTAACATATAAAAGGCAATCACCACCATAACCATTGCATCGAACAACCTTAGCTTCTTCTATATAACACCAAACACATTCCACTACTTGAACACTCTCTTCAATGGATCCTAATACCTTACACTCACATTCACATTGTGTACAATTGGAAATTCACCAAGTTGTTCCACCACCTCACAAAACCACTTTACACAAACTCAAACTTCGACTCAAAGAAACTTTCTTCCCTGATGATCCTATGCGCCAATTCAAAGGAAAATCTCCTAAGATAAAACTTATCTTAGGAGCTAAATACATGTTCCCTATTCTTCAATGGGGTTCTACTTATAACTTGAAACTCTTTAAATCCGATCTTGTTTCCGGCCTCACTATCGCTAGCTTGGCCATACCTCAGGGAATCAGTTACGCTAAGCTTGCCAATCTTCCTCCAATTGTAGGACTATGTGAGTTTCTCTGCACAACTATTAACTGAACTGTTCCGTTCTGCAACCAGAGTTATTGGTGCAGATTCTCGGTGTCATGATAGATAATAAATTTTATATTTATTTTTCAGATTCCAGCTTTGTTCCTCCACTTATTTATGCTGTTCTTGGAAGTTCAAGGGATCTAGCAGTAGGACCTGTTTCAATTGCGTCGCTTGTTTTAGGATCTATGCTAAGACAAGAAGTTTCACCTTCAGCAGAACCTGTTCTGTTTCTTCAACTTGCTCTTACTTCAACTTTCTTTGCTGGTCTATTTCAAGCTTCACTAGGAGTTCTAAGGTAATGATTTTTTATATTATAAAAAAACATAAGAAAAAGATAAAGTTTTAGTATTGAGTATTATTTATTATTGATTAATGATTAGTGATTAATGCATGATTACAGGTTAGGATTTATTATTGATTTTTTATCTAAAGCAATCCTGATTGGATTCATGGCTGGAGCTGCTATAATTGTGTCTTTGCAACAACTTAAGAGCTTACTTGGAATCACACACTTTACTAAAGAGATGGGTCTTGTTCCTGTTATGACTTCTGTTTTTCAAAATATACACGAGGTTAATTAATTAGTTAATTATTTATTAGTTCATTTTCTTTATTTATCTCTATATTATTCTTATAGTATTTTTGTGCAGTGGTCATGGCAAACAATAGTGATGGGAATTTGCTTCTTGGTGATACTACTCATAGCAAGACACGTTGTACGTTATTATTCTCTTCAAATTTTTTTCTCTTTTTTTTTTTTATAACTTTTATGTGTTACAAGAATTTTTCATTCTATAATCTCATCTCTGTCCATGAAGATTTGTTTGCATCTGCATATGAATTTACTTAATACGACAATTTGGAATAATTTTAAGATTAGAAAAAATGAATCATCATGATGTTTGTCACATGAGAGTGTGTGTATCATGCAAAACTCAAAACGAGATTGGCTTGATTTGTTTTTTTCGTCTGGTTGCTCTGTCAAAATGGATTTCGCTATCTCAAAAAGTAGTTTAGTGCTATTTCATTCGACTTAAATATTATTTTCTCAGTAGTTAAATTTCCAAGACTGGTCGATATAAAATCTAAAGTAGTTAGTACATGCTTAATATAACATCATCAGTTCATCACATTATGGTCATATAACATCATCAGTTCATTACATTATGGTCATGGGTGTCACATTAGATGACCGTGTGATTTTTATGAGATAAACAAAAATCAATCTTATATACCTGCTCAATTTTTTTAAGAGGTCATGTGGAATAAGTTAAAGTTAACTTTAAGTCTTAAATTTTTTTAAGAGATTCTGTTTAATTATAAATTAATTATAAAATATTTGTATGAAAATCATTTTTTCTATAGTTTAATCATGAAAAAGTGTAAGATATTGTGTTGTAGACTGTATTGCACATCCAGACGGCTTTGCTTATATAAAATCTATAAAAAAATCTTTATTATTTTTAAAATAAAAACATATTTTATAAACAAATTAAAAACAAGAGAAAAAAGAAATGCAGTGTAAAATATTTTACACTCAACCAATCACAACCATATATCATAATAAAATATATTTTTATTTTAAAAATACTGATATTACATAACAATTTTAGACATTTTAATTAGTTGTATGGGTAAAACTGACCTTTAAACTCTAAAAACAAAAATATAATGTTTATTAATATTTATGAAAAATAATAAAATCTACTTTTTTGGGAAAATAGCCGATAACAAGAAAAAGCAATACTTTTACATTTTAGAACAATACAAATTGATGCTACATATGTATTAAATAACTCATCCAAATAAATAAATGCATGCAGAGCATAAGGAAACCAAAGCTATTCTGGGTCTCTGCTGGAGCTCCTCTTATGTGTGTCATCATCTCTACTCTTCTGGCTTTTGCAATCAAGGCTCAAAATCATGGCATCAGTCTAGTAAGCCACTATTTCCATCCCAAACCCGCGTTATCACATAAAATATGAATTACGGACATCGGACACGATACTATAATAATTCTAAAAAATAATAAATTAGATGTAATCACAAGTGTCGGTGCTGGTGTCCGACACTGACATGCACACGGACACGGACATGAACACGCCTTTTTTCTGAGGTGTCAATGCTCCACAGCTATAAGTTTAGTCATTTTGATTTTATGTATATATGACTATATAAGACAGCCATGAGATTAATTATCACCTCTGTCTTCTGATGTGGTTGCTAGATTGGAAAATTACAAGCAGGAATAAATCCTTCTTCATGGAATATGTTGAAATTTCATGGAAGCCACCTTGGTCTAGTTATGAAAACAGGCCTTATCACTGGCATTTTGTCACTAACTGTAAGTTTAACAATATTAATTTCCCTCTTTCTTACCATATATATTCTCTATTTATCCTGCAGTAAACTTTGAAGTATATTATACAGTACACACATGCAAGAAGTAGAAGCATAATAAGCATGTGTATATAGTTGATTTTATAACTGGTAAAAAATGGATGAGTGATTTCTTTATTAAAAAAAACAGGAAGGTATTGCAGTAGGAAGAACATTTGCAGCTCTGGGAAACTACAAAGTAGATGGAAATAAGGAAATGATGGCAATTGGGTTTATGAATGTGGTTGGCTCTTTCACTTCCTGCTATGTCACAACAGGTTCTTGTTTATCACCTAGAGACGAAACGCTTTTATCATTATATACGTCGGGCGATCTGGTATTAGAAACACATATTTACCTCGTTGAAACTATGAATTTCAGGTGCTTTCTCTCGTTCAGCTGTGAATAACAATGCCGGAGCAAAAACAGCAGCTTCAAACATAGTAATGTCTGTGACAGTGATGGTGACACTCCTTTTTCTTATGCCACTCTTCCAGTACACACCTAATGTTGTATTGGGTGCTATCATAGTCACGGCGGTGATTGGCCTCGTTGATATCCCTGCTGCATGTCACATTTGGAAGATGGACAAATTCGACTTCCTTGTGATGTTAACCGCTTTCTTAGGTGTTGTTTTTGTCTCAGTCCAGGAAGGCCTTGCTATTGCAGTAAGTTCAGTCTTGCTCATAATCTTCACCTTGTCGACATATTTTGTGGATTTGCATATTGACAAGGGATGACAATGCTATTGATCAGGTTGGATTATCGACTTTTAGGTTACTCCTGCAAATTACGAGGCCTAAAACAGTAATGATGGGGAATATACCAGGGACAGACATATATAGAAATCTTCATCAATACATGGAAGCTAAAAGAATACCAGGCTTTCTTATTTTAAGCATCGAGGCTCCCATCAATTTCGCAAACATCACATATCTCAATGACAGGTTAGTTTTTTCTTTGCAAAGCTAATCAAGTATGTTAGTTTTTTATTTCTGTATATTATTGTTTCCTCTGTTACTCAACTATTTATATTGACATCGCATATTAGGACAATGCGATGGATTGAAGAGGAAGAGGAGGATAATGAAAAGGAACAGTCAAGCCTTCGGTTTTTAATCCTAGATATGTCAGGTAATATGAGCCTTCGATTATTGCATGCACTATGTTTTACAATCTATGTTTGAGCAGCATATCACAGCTACCATCTTAAATCATATTTATTTGAAATTGTTAGCTGTGAGCGCCATTGACACAAGCGGAATCTCACTTTTCAAGGAATTAAAGGCCACAATGGAAAAGAAGGGCATTGAGGCAAGGATATTTAACTCTGAAATATACTTGATTTGTTTACATATATACCTTAGTAGAAACTAGATACGTCCCAAGTCTCGATATTGAATAACTCATGTGATTTGTGACAGCTTGTGTTGGTGAATCCTCTAGCTGAGGTCATAGAAAAGTTGAAAAAAGCAGACCACGGTAATAATTTCATTCGAGCAGACAGCCTTTTCTTGACAGTTGGAGAGGCTGTGGCTTCACTTTCATCGACAATGAAGAGCCAAACAATCATGACTGAAGAAACACAAAACCGTGCCACATAACTGATTACTTAATCAAGATTGCAGGATAAATATGCCGAGATAAAAAAAAGTAGACACCGCAAACAGACCGCATAGAATTTGTACCAAATCAATTATTGTAACATTCTACACTATACAGTTTAAACGTTTAAAGTGAAATATAACTTCAACAGTTATGCTGCTGCTTATTAGATACGCCTCACAGGATTTTTGTTCATAATGGCAACAGCTTAATGCTTTTCAATTCAAGCATTTGTGTCGAATTACAAGCATTATCAGTACATAAACATAAGTTTGTGCTCTCAAAACATTGCTTATTATTGCAGCAACCAGTTTATTCAACAATAGCAAATTGAAGTTTTGAACCTTAATGCCAATGGCCGTATCTTACTAAACTAAAATTATTTAAGATAATAATGCAGATTGAGGTAACTAACAACATCCTAGATGTTGGGGAGAAAAGACAGTACAAGTTAATGGATGAAATTAGATATCACATTATGATTAGGTTAGGTGCGAAATCCTTCTAGCTGAATCTTCCATGGTCCTAATCAGCAGACCACATTTCAATCAATTTCCAATCATGAAAAAAAGCAGTTATGCTTTATGACTTACGATTGAAAGCAAAAACTGTGTCAACTCTCATGAGTTTATCTGCAAACAGTCATATATTTGTGCTTTAAACAACATTGTGCAGACAGAAACAACTATACGTTTGTCCTTGATGAACAGTGGCAATTGTTTTATTTTTCTCATATAACGTTTGGATCATGTTACGTGTTTGTGTCAAAATCCGTGCTTCATAGATTACGAAGGATTAGAAAGAGATTTATTTGATGTTACACAATCAAATATTATTGAACTTTACCCAAATCTTGATTATTCAGGAAACTAATCAGGCTGTAAAACAATGAAGATATGATAACAGGAGTTACAGGACCTTATTAACCGTACGATGACAGAGGAACCCTTTGGTATCCATGCCATGCAGATACGCCTCAGTCCTAGATCCAAAAGATAACCTATTAACCTACCATCTTAGTTACAAAAGATCGTGAATTTTAACAAAAGATCAGACACATACAGAATCACAACAATATCAATATCGAATGTACTCTACATCAGAGGAAAGAAAAATGATCAACTAATAAATTAATTATGAATATCATAAACAGACTAAAATAGAGATGAGACCTAGTTACTCAAGGCATGTCCTAACAAGCCAAACTTCAAGTGGAACTTCGTCTCATTACAGTCCAGCATTTCACTCAAGCTGCAATTTAAATTCCTCTGCTGTAGAAGTTTGTGCCGCAACACTATTTTTTTCTTCAGCCCATGACGAAAGAAGCAAGGATAATCAATGATTTCATTGACTTGTCTCCCCATTACATCTACCAAAAACTTGATCCTCGGCTCTAAAGAATTCCTGACACTCTTGAATAGGATAGGAGGAAAACCAACCACCAAATCAACTATCTGTCGCCCTTGAAATCCACGACTCTTTAAATAATCGTAATTGTGTACCAAAACCTTGTTCACATCTCTACTCAAAATCGACGGGAAGTTCAATGCCAGCACTTGAAGATCCTTCTCAGTCAGACCAATTGATTTCAAAAACTCCGAAGTAGGACGGAGCCTTTTATCAACACTATAACCCATGATAAACGGGTCCTTAACCAAAATTTTACCAATCATTCCGTCTTTATCAAGACCAATGCTGGCAAGAAACTTCACAATCTCCCCCATCTTTGTCTCAATACTGTAACTAATAAGCCTAGGGTTTAACAGTAGAATTTTCCCGATTTGCTTTTCAGGGACACCTAATGCTTGAAAAAATGCCAAAACGGGACAAAGCTTCTCTTCCACACTATACGAGAGTATGTGAGGGAACTTTGCAATAGCAGAGGCAACTTCATGAGGCTTTGTTGCGAGTGTGTTGAGACATTCAACCATGGGGAGAATCTTCTCATTAAGCCCAAGCACGAGAATTTTCGGGCATTTCGAAACAATTGACGGAAGCTTCCTTTCTTGAATGCCAATTGTTTTCAAATACTCCCAATTTTCACTGGCTCTTTCTTGATGAACCATCTCGAGACGCTTGCATTTTTTAAACATTCCTTGTATGATGTTATCATCGAATCCTCTATCTTTGAAAAACCACATCATGTTACTACTGTTATTGCCGCTACTGGTTTCCATTTTACCCTACAAATTGTTCATTGAAAAATATATACATTTAGTTTACACAATTTCATAGTAATATATTTGCGTTTTGTTTTGAATTGATATGCATTTCAGTTTGTAATATAATTTAGGGTTCATGAATTCTATTACAGGTTCTACATATAAAGTTTGAAATCTTCATTGAGTAAAAAAAATAAGGAAAAGAAGAAGGGAAATGAGGAAATTGATAGTTACCAGAAGTGTTGTTGCGCGGTAGCAGAGGAGGATATAGAGAGTGAAATGGTTGAAGGAAATTGAAGTGGTGAAGACGGAGACAGAGAAGTGGGTTTACTGAGAGTCAGAACTGAAGTGAGAGTGAAGATGAGAAGACACCATGGATGAAGAAGAGGATAGAGTGTAGATTCTCACCCACCCACGACGTCGTTTAACTGTTTTTTTTTTTTCCTTTCTATAAAGGATTAGTTTTTTACTATTAATTTAAAAAAAATTATTTTAACAAAAAAATATCCTTTATATTTTTATGCGCATTAAAAAAGTAGACAGACGCTAATACAATAAAAAAATAGTTACAAAACTTTTGGTGTAATTTAATTTTTTTTTTTTTTTAAATGACTATTTATTTAAGAAATTGTTAATCCAAAGTAGGGGATAAGAAGGTATGAAAATTCAAAAATATTTTTTTGATTTTGATTTTAGAAGTGTATTTTCAAATGTATTATGAATAGGGGTAGAAATTGGCCCGGACAAGTCCGACTTTTTGTAAATAGGTCCGGCCTATTTTTCAAATTCAAAGGTTAAGTTTGCCTTATTATTTGTCATTGACTTTAATTTAGGTCTGACATATTAGTCTATTTAAAAAACTATTTTATTATAAGGTTATTTTAGATACACACTTGCTATATACTTAAGTAATCAATTAAAAATCCAACCAAATCATTCTCTAAAATTATAAAATTCTAAATTATAACTATTATTTAAATTTAGTTATAAATGTTAAATAAATTCTAAATTGTAACTATAATTATTATTTAAAAGTTAAAAAGAAGTATATAGAATAATAACACAAATTGTAAATAGAGAAACCGATTCACAATGTCGAATGATAATTAATTATTTGCCCATAGAAATGGCTATCATACTGTAACTAAGAGCATCTTTATTGGGAGTAAACTAAATGGGTAAACTAAGATACTTTTTGTGGGTCCAAAGTGATTTGTAGGATTTAAAAAATTTATAGTTGATTTGAGTAGTTTTTACTTTAATGATGGTTGTCTATAAGAAACCAAAACTTGACCCCACATGGTATTAAATGGTTAATAAAAATCTATTATTTATTTTAAATAATTAATAAAAATGTATTATTTTTGTTAAATGATGAGTTAGAGTGCGTTGCTTGTGTAGAGCACGTAAACTAGTTTTAGAGCATCCCATATGCCATGTCAGCACTACTATAATGCAAATTTCTTATTACTAACGTAAGCTATAAAGAATTTTGGTTTAACAACCCTGCATTAAAGTTGCTCTAACAAATAAAACCATTTACAATAGATAAACAATGAAGACATGTGACTAAAACATTGACAACGCCTTTTTTTTATATTTTTAAATTTTGAAGTGATAACAATTATCATCAAAGAAGAAGTAGGATATAGTGTTCTGGACTGGACTGGACTGGCGCGTGACCCACATTTGGGCAAGACCCAATCCAATCCAGCTTTAGGCAAGACCCAATAAGGAGATTAAGATAATCTAACCGTTGGGCACAATATAGTCGTTGGGCGTAATATGACCGTTGGGCATAATATAGTCGTTATAAAATATAGTCGTTGGGGACATCCCTTCACGCGCTTGACAGTTCACGCGACCAACTGTCCCTCCGGATAGTTCACGGGGACAGTTGGACCAAGTCAGAGATCACGCGCTAGATCTTCCATCTGGAAGTCTTCCATTGGTCGATCAGATATTTCGGCCACATCGGAGACCTTGGCCCCGTGTTGGGGGATTCTTATAAATACCATCTCGCTCGAGAGGGTCAGGTATTCAAATCATTCTAACTCATACCTAAACACTTTGTACTTGCTCTCTCTCTAGCCCAAACTCACTTTGGCATGAGAGTACCCCAATCTTTTCAATCCAAATACCAAAGTTTTTTCTCTCTAAACCTTCTTCGCCATGGACTCTCACCATAACAATGATGTCCCTCAAGATTCTATCGTCGTTGTCGCCTTTGGTAATGGCGATAATCCTAATCCTAGAGTTGTGGTCTACGAGACCGATCACAGGGATGGAAAAATTACCTCTCCATCCTCCGACAACGTGAAACCCCGCATCCAGAATTCTGATCACATCTACGAGCCCATCCTCGTCCCTCAAGATGTTGATCCCAGCACTACGACTCTCATCGCCGCCCTCAACAAATCCAACTACATGATTTTCCAGCAGGGCAAAAAGATCCATGTGCTGGAAAACGCCCTTCAAGAATGACCTCCACCGCGGAGACCTCTCAGTCCTTCTCCCTGTTCTCGTTCTCCTCCCCAGAAACGTCGGCGAGACAAGTCTCGAAGCACCTCCCCAGTCAAGGAACGATCAAATTCGAAGAAACCTGGGCAAGAGGTCACAAGAAGACGACATCGTACCCCTCCCTAGAGGTCTAGACATTCTCCGGCACCCAAGAAGATCAGGCTTTTAGAGAAGCCTCGCGAACATCGGCACATGCACTCTCCTCGACGCATAAGAGTCGCGGGCGTAGTCATTCCCCGAGTAGGTCGTCAAGCACGAGCGACGAGGAAGACGTCCATGGATCTCTATCCCAAGAGATCATGGACACATGTATTCCT